TCATACGCCACAGAGAGAACCTTTCAGTCTGGTCTGGTGCTTGAAACAGGTACCTACAAACTGTAAATAGATATAACATCCCTGCAGATGAGACCTTTTTCTGGCTCTCTCAAAACTGCTGTTGTTAGGTTTCCATGTTTGTTTTCAGTGTTTTCTGTTTTAGTCTGAGGGTTGTCTGTCCCTACTGTTCTTGTCTTGTTTTACTTTCTGTCTTTGATTGTTGCATCTGTCTAATTTTCCTGATTGTCATCACCTCTGCCTTGTTATCCTCAGCTCTACTTCACCAGCCACTTTATTAGGTACACCTGGTTAATTAATTGTTAACACAAATAGCTAATCAGCCAATCACATGGCAGCAACTCAATGCATTTAGGCATGTAGATGTGGGGCGAGTTCAATCTCAGAACGTTTTGCCCTGGTTTGCAATGTTTTCGGATTGAACAACATGTTTCCTTGCAACGTTGTGCAAAGTTCTGCAACGGGCTTTGAGGTCTGGGGCGAGTTCAGCGCCAACAAAACGTAGCAAAACGTTTTTTTTCAACGGAAACGGTGGTGCCTTGAACACCCTACTGTATACGCAAGCGTACTGCATATTCTTGCCCTTCTAACACCGTTGTGTTTACAAACTTGTGGCATCTGATTGGCTAACACCTAAGACACGGTCCGAAAAGAGAAAATATCCAAACAACAAAAAAGGGTCAGGATTTGGCGTAAACAACATAAAAGCATGGATCCATCTTGCCTTGTATCAACAGTTCAGGCTGGTGGTGTTGTAATAATATTTTAATAATAATATTTTCTTGCCACACTTTGGGCCCAGTTGAACATCTTGTTCTGAGTATTGTTATTGTTACTGACCATGTCCATCCCTTTATGACCACAGTGTACCCATCCTCTGATGGCTACTTCCAGCAGGATAATGCAACATGTCACAAAGCTCAAATCATCTCAAACTGGTTTCTTGAACATGAATGAGTTCACTGTACTAAAATGGCCTCCACAGTCACCAGATCTCAATCCAATAGTGCACCTTTGGAAGGAGGTGGAACGGGAGATTCGCATCATGGATGTGAAGCTGACAAATCTGCAGCAACTGCGTGATGCTTTCATGTCAATATGTAAAAAGTATGCCACGAAGAATTAAGGCAGTTCTGAAGGCAAAAGGGGGTTTAACCCGGTACTAGCAAGGTGTACCTAATAAAGTGGCCATCGAGTGTTCATATATGACCATTTGTTCTGTTCTATCTACCACAACTCTCAATTTGCAGCATGAAGTTCATATTTTAAGAATAAGACTGTTATTATGTACGGTATGTATTCTCAAAACTTTGGTGTTCTCATGAAAAATCTACAGAACTGTTGGAAAGAAAGCCACAATGTATTGCAAGGCTGGTGTGCAGGTGGAGAATTTGCTGGAGAAGAGCTATTAAATTTATAAAAATATATATATATATATATAAATCCAGCGGATAAATTAATCAACTAAGAGAAATTGTAATTGCGCCTAAAAACAAGAACAACAAAATGTGTCAAAATAGATCCAGGTATCACCTGGAATCATACATATCATGGGCACAAAAACTCATTTAGGCATCTGTAACTGGTCTCAGCATCTTTTAAACCATGAGCAGACCTTTCAGAGGGTGAGTGAGTGTGATTTCTCCAAAACCTATAATAAATAAAAAATAAATCAGGAGGGGGCCTACTAATTACAAATACAAACTAATATAACAAACTAACTAATGTTTGTTCATATTTTCAAAAAGGAATCACGCATCTTCCTCAGAGTCGGTTGCGGGTTGTGAGAAAGCGGGGTTTGGCGTCTAGCCCCGCCCACACCAACTACCAAATCACTTTGGTCATTCAGAGCCGCGTTTCCACCACAGGAACTATACCCCGGAACTAGGAACCTTTAGAGGAACCAACTGGAGCACATTCAGGGCAGGGTTGGTCATCCAACCCAACCCCACTTTGCTGCGGTCGAAAAGTCTTTTTTGCCTAGGAAGGTTCCTAACTGAGTGAAGTGACCCGGAAGTATTTCCACGGCAGCCATGATAAGAGCTGGTCGAATTCTCTAAAAGCTGAGGAAAGGTGCCTCAATGCTTCCTTTCATATCTCCTTGAACATAGGGTACACCGGACCATCTTTTACGCAAGGAAAGGAGATAATGCCGTCCCACAATTCCTTGTGGCAGCAACATTTAAAGCAAACTCAAACGATAAAATCCATCAACCACATTTAGCAAGATCCTTCCAATACAGTATCTCACCCTCCGGTCTTGACCCATCTGAGCTAGTCTAATGCCCTGTCTCTGAAAATTATTTTGAGCCTGTGGCTCGATATAGCCTCACTCACGAAACTAACTTTTGCTCCTACGGACACTGTCCCCTCGCGTCTTTTAAAAGAGGTTTTAGATGTTGTTGCTCCCAGCCCTTTGTCTATAATAAATAGCTCTCTTATAAATGTAATTTTTCCATCCACTTTTAAACATGCTGTGGTTCAGCCTCTTATAAAAACCCCAATCTTGACCCTATGGATTTTAATAATTTTAGGCCCATTTCTAAATTATCTTTTATGTCTAAAATTTTGGAGGTCATTCTTTCTCTCCTCGTTTTTTGCTGAAAACAATGTGCTGGATAACTTTCAGTCAGGTTTCAGGATATATCACAATACAGAAACAGCACTGCTTAAGGTACTAAATGATTTATTGCTGTTTGGTGATTCTGGAAATTGTGCTATTTTACTCTTGCTTCACCTAAGTGTGGCTTTTGACACCGTTGATCATGACATCCTCCTGGATTGCCTCCAGCAAGGGGTTGGTATCCAGGTGGTGTCGCGCTACAGTGGTTTCACTCTTATTTGAAAGATAGAACTTTTTCTGTTAACATTGGTAACATTTCCTCTTCTTCAGAAGCAATTAAATGCGGAGTACCTCAAGGTTCAATCCTGGGGCCAATCTTATTTTCTTTGTATATGCTTCCCTTGGGCTCCATTCTCTCTTCATTCTCCGTAAACATAATATATTATACCACTGCTATGCTGATGATACACAGCTGTACTTACCTTACTTAGGTGATTCAAAGTCCTTACAGTCTATTTACAACTGTCTAAATGATATTAAGAGTTGGATGGCAATCAACTTTCTCCACCTAAATGAAAACAAGACAGAAGTAATATTATTTGGTTCCCCTAACTCCCTGCGATGGACTGGCGACCTGTCCAGGGTGTACCCCGCCTTTCGCCCGATGCCAGCTGGGATTGGCTCCAGCCCCCCGCGACCCTGTACGTATCGGTATCTGTTACTCATCTTTATCACACTTGCAGCTTGTTCAAAATGCAGCTGCGAGATTGTTAACTGGTACAAGGAAGAGGGACCATATATCCCCAATATTGGCTGCTCTTCACTGGTTACCAGTCAAATATAGAATCGATTTTAAGGTGCTGTTAATTGTTTTTAAAGGCAACTTTTTGAGCAATGTTGCTTGGCAATCTTCGTCCTAGCCTCAAATCACACATAGAGTTGTACAGGTTTTGCTCAAGAATATCCCTGTATTTAGCACCATCCATCTTTCCCAGTCCCGGCTGCTGAAAAACTTCCCCACAGCATGATGCTGCCACCTCCATGTTTCACTGTGGGGATGGTGTTCTTTGGCTAATGTGATGTGATGTGTTGGGTTTGCGCCAGACATAGCGTTTCCCACATGCCTTTTTGTTTTTTGCTGAAAGGCTTTCTTCTGGCCACTCAGCCATAAAGCCCAACTCTATGGAGCGTACGGCTTATTGTCGCCCTATGTGCAGATACTCCAGTCTCTGCTGTGGAACTCTGCAGCTCCTCCAGGGTGACCGTAGGTCTCTGTGCTGCCTCTCTGATTAATATCCTCCTTGCCCAGTCCGTGAGGTTTGGTGGGCGGCCGTCTCTTGGCAGGTTTGCTGTTGTGCCATGTTCTTTCCATTTGGTTATGATAGATCTGATGGTGCTCCTGGGGATCATCAAAGATTTGGATATTTTTTTATAACCTAACCCTGACTTGTACTTCTCTGCAACATTGGATTCTTTGGGCTTCATGGCAGTGTTTGGTTAGTGGTGCCTCTTGCTTAGGTGTTGCAGCCTCTGGGGCCTTTCAAAAAAGGTGTGTATGTACTGACAGATCACGTGACACACATGTGATTGCACACAGGTGGACATCATTTCAGTTTTTATGTGACTTCTGAAGGTAATTGGTTTCACCAGAGCTTTTTATGGGCTTCATAACAAAAGGAGTGAATACATATGCACATGCCAATTTTCAGTTTTTTATTTCTAAAAAATAGTTTTATGTATATATTTTTCTCACTTCACTTCACCAACTTAGACTATTGTGTTCTGGTCCATCACATAAAATTCAGATTAAACAAACATTGAACAAAAGGCTGTAATGTAACAAAAGAGGTAAAAACCCAAAGGAGTGAATACTTTTGCAAGGCACTGTATATTCACTAAGCATTATTTGGTGACTGGTACCTATAGACCTTTGCCTTTTTGCTATCTTGGTTATGAAGTAGCCTAATATTCCACCGTGTTGTCCACCTTTAGACGGCCTGCATTACAACAACATGGGGCGCAGTGTCAAAGATGCGCTTTTTGTAGTCCATGTTAAGAACATTGTAGTTTCATCACGGCAGGTCACGTCAGTAAAATCCGCCGTCGCATAATTACGTCGCCTAGAAAAGAGCAACCGGACTCTCTGAGCCCGGTTGCTCTTTTTAAGTCCTTATGAATTCTACTTCACATCTTTCCTTGGCCTCATGATGTCTTCCATCAAGGTCACGGAAAAGGGGTTAGGAAAGGAGATTTTTTTTTACTTTTCGACCGCAGCCCCAGAGTCTCTGCCAGCACCCACTCCGCCCCTCTCCGATCTTCGTCCGATGCAACCCGAGCGTTGCCGAAAAGTAACTCGTGGTCTCATTTCATTGGCGAGAGGCTCGTCCAATGAGCCGCGGCCATCTGTGCAGAGCTCATCACTGTTGAAATAGTCCGGTTACATTTCCTCCAGGCGTTATAACCTGAGCTCTTTTCACTCCACAGTTGCATCTCTCCCTCCCTGGCACCGGACAGCGGCCCCCGACATGAAGCTTCCAGCGGCGGTTTTTGCAGTTTTTGCATCCATAGCTGTCAGCATTGACGCTACTGTCTACTTCAAGGAACAGTTTCTGGATGGAGGTGCAGTACGGCCGGTTCCATGTCTTCTTGTCCTAAACATTTTGTTTTGTTAAAGTGGCTGGCTTAACTGACTAGAACAGTATCGTTTGGTAGTTTGTCTTCAGTGTGTGGCTTTTTAAAGAACATATTTCTTTAAAATAACCTTAGGCCTACTGCAGTAATGACACTAATAAACAGGCTAGGCCACGTTATGTCTATTAGTTAAGTTAGATATAATGTTAGCTAAAATAGCGTAACACAGCAGTTAAGTAAATACTGTAATATTTTTTTAAATGGACGCTGTCTGAATTTAGTGAAGCAAAATGAATACCAAATAATTCCTCGTAACGTTACTTGAGTTCAAATATTCTTTCACTTTTGATATCGCGCTGAACAGATTGAATGCTTCCAGGTGAAGTCCAGTTCGGCTGCAGTAACGTTTGAACTGCCTGACCTCAATGTGATGAACCAGTTAGAACCAGTTAGAACACAAGTAGAACCTCAAAGGAAATGTAAAAAACCAAACAAAAAGCCAGGAGCCCTGTTAACTACCAAGGTAACAGCAGCGTGAGTGGGTTTAGTCTTTAAATGCACTTGTGTCTGGAGCAGGCAGTGTAATAGATGTGTAATGCAGTTTGGTTGTGTCAGCTAACAGGAAAAGGAAGGAAGTCAGTAACCAGTTGAGGTGGATTGCTGTGTTTCAGATGGATGGAAAAGCCGCTGGCTCGAGTCAAAGCACAAGTCAGACTATGGCCAATGGAAACTGAGCGCTGGAAAGTTCTATGGGGATGCTGAGGCTGATAAAGGTAATTATTATATATTCTGCCATAGACACAGTTGATCCAAATGCATTTGTCTGAAATGGATGCATTTGCATATCTCAAAATACTTGCAGATAGTGTCTTGTCATGCAAATGTAGGTAAAGTGCTTTGTGTGTATATCCTCCTCCAGTACAGCCACTTCACCAAGAATTGTCCTGTAAAGTGTGAGATTATATCCAGGACTGGAAGAACGGACCAGAGGGCCCTGGGGCAAAAATGATCCACAGTGGTCCTATTAACACCCCCAACTCTTCATACTTTTGCCACACCTTTCTTTGTCAGTGTACTCCCAGGCCCCAGGTGTACTCTCTGGTAATTTGACTGAACACAAATTAATTTATTATGCATAAAAAATATATTTTTGACATCAGGCCCCTCTTCAAGGAAAAATCATGTCCGTTGGTACCGTACTTTTGCACAAACAAGTCGATGCACAGTAATTCTGGAACTTTTGGGGATCCTGGAGTACCAGGGCCTTGTGTCAATTAACCAATTTACTCAGTTGGTAATCAAGGCTTGTTGATATCCTGAAGCACTACAGGAGGTCACAGAAAAAATATATTATGTGGGTAAACGTTTACGAATGAAACCTGATCAACAAGAAACCGGTACACATTCACAGGCAAAAGCTGTGGAGAGGTTTGAGCCCAGTGGCCTGTACTACGAAGCAGGGTAACTGGCTTATCCAGGTAACTTCAGGAGTAACTTTGTGACGTCGGGTGTAACTTCCTGATTAACCTGTACTACGAAAGGTGGATAGGTGTTAACCGAGGTCTGTTGCCATGGCAATTTACACCGCATCTCTACACTGCTCCGAGCAGGTTTTGCTGGTGGTTAACTCGAGGTTACTCTGCACGTGGACTACACACCACATCTGTACTCAGTGTTAATGATGAGAAGTAGGCTATTATAGACATCACTTGATAAAATATGTTTAGATTTCATCCTGATTTGTTCCACTGGGTTGCAGCTGAAATGTTATTTACGTTCACACAGCGAGCCCTGCAGCCTCGGTGATTTTAGGGAGGAGATCTTAATTAACGGGACAGTTTCTTAGATGTAGCCCATCTGTAGGCTGTAACTGAATTCTCCTAAGTGTTTTCATATATTTAGAGTGAGCCAGGGTGGGGGTTAATAAACCGAGAAAATAAATCCTAGATGAAAGTGTCAAATTTACAAGAACTAAAATCGGAAATTCCCTGAAATTAAAGTCACAAAAAATCAAAAATCACTTTCTTCTGAACACGCCCAGTCCATGGCAAAGTCTCTGAGGTGCATGATAGTGATTGTGGGCTAAACTCAAATATTTCCTCACTGCTAAATCTGATGACAAAGTTTAATACAACTTTCCAATGAATGCCTAATGCACAGCAGAAGTGTGTGTGTGTTGTTGCAGCCTTGCAAAGTGAAGTTTCTCTCATAAATGTGTGTCAGAGAATATTCAAGTTTTTTTTTTTACTTATACAGTAGATTAATCGTGGAAATTCAATTTTGTCTCGGATTATTCCCCCTCTCCGCTGGCTCCTTTTTTTTTTTTTTTACATTACATTGGATCTTATGTGCAGTTGTACATTTATATCTTAATCATAATACACAAAAGAAGAGCCCATAAAATAGGAAACTCAACAAACGTAACCTATTGGCCTCAGGTGAAGATACCAACGATGGTCGTTCAGTCTTGGCCACAGGTAGTCTCAACGACTGTAACGACTGTCACAGCAACAAGGAACACTAACGAACCAGCGGTATCGATGACCCGGGAACGACCCCACTGAGGTTAAATAGCTGAGTTTCCCTGCCAGTCAGTCAGAACTGAAGAAGTCCTTTGGATGAGGGACAAACGTCTTCCAGTATCTTCAACCAAGTCCAGTTGCCCTTGATTTTAACCTTCGTTGGAGAACTATGACCTGGATGACTGAGAATCTTCATAGACAGCCCATAAAAAACTAAGTAGAGAATTAGCCTACAATAAGAACACTGAAAATAATTACAGATTTACTCAAGCCTACAGATGCCAACAAGCCTCCCTGGCTTTGTCGGACACCACGGTGTTAGATTTAGCCATTAACATGTCTTTAAACTCATCATATCCCGACACTATTGTCGGGCATTCTTCTGAGGAAAATACGGAGCATGCGTCATTGCCAAAAAACTCTGCCTGCATAGCCGACTGCGCACCAACTCCAATTAAGTTAGCACCGACTCAACTAACCATCTTATTCACCGTCGTAGTTTAACACCAGTGTAGGTGGTCAGAGTTTGCTTAATAACCCTGAGTTAACTCTGAGTATGTTGAACTCCCTTCCTAGTACAGGCCACTGGTTGCTGACAGCTGTTTTCTCATATTTTTGTCTTATCTGCACCCCCACCAGGTGTCCAGACCAGCCAGGACGCCCGCTTTTACGCACTGTCGGCCCGCTTTGAGCCCTTTAGCAATGAGGGAAAACCCCTGGTCATCCAGTTCACCATCAAGCACGAACAGAAGATTGACTGCGGAGGTGGCTATGTCAAGATCTTCCCCTCTGACCTCGACCAGAGCGACATGCACGGAGACTCCCAGTATTACATCATGTTTGGTGAGTCGTGCTTGTCTTGTGGAGACCTGACCTCAGAACACAGGGTTTTTTGAGGAGAGATCACCTGGAAGGATGCTTGATGCATTTTCCTAACAAGTAATTTTTACATTCAGCTGTTCCATTTTTAGTCATTACTGTGATTCGTCCTTCCTCAAATTAAATAAGTAACATAACATGCCCCGTGTCTCCAGGGCCTGACATCTGTGGATACAGCACAAAGAAGGTTCACGTGATCTTGAACTACAAGGGCCAGAACCACCTCATCAAGAAAGACATCAAATGCAAGGTAGCCACTGCACAAAGTCTGTTGACTAGTTTTGATTTTTGTCTTTTGTGAGTGTGAATTTTGTGAACATTTTGAGAGATGGTTGCTCATTCTAAATTCCCTCTCTCTCCAGGATGACGAGCTCACCAACCTGTACACACTCATCCTGAATCCCGACCAGACATACGAAGTGAAAATCAACAATGAGAAGGTGGAGTCCGGCTCCCTGGAGGACGACTGGGACATGTTGCCCCCAAAGAAGATCAAGGACCCAGATGCCAAGAAACCCAGCGACTGGGACGACAGGGCCAAGATCGACGACCCCACTGACACCAAGCCTGAGGTCAGAGATCATGGCTTAGGTTAATCTTAATTGTATTTCTAGAATACAAGATATGAAACTTTTGAAACTTTCCATGAATGCACGTTACACCTGGGCTAGCTGCAAAATGTTTGGTTAACTTCAAAACCTGGAACTCTCAAATCCTGTTCTTCAAACGTGCCTCACTAATCCAGGGATAACTGCTGTTATCAGGCTGAAATAATCGTGGTAGTTCTCATCCAGCTAATTGGTACTTTGAGCACATTTTGAGGATTGATTTGTTTGAATTGGTTCGTTTGTATCTAATATTGACCTCATGTTTGGGTTTCACCTCAGAGTCTTGGTCTTGATGTTGCTGTGAATAAGATTCACTATCACTGGTTTGATCTTCAGAACTGTTGTCATTGCAACATTTTCTCAATACATTTCAAGACAGCTTTGAAGAACTGACAAATCGTCTTGTGTCAGAAAATCTACAATCAAATCAAGCTTTGGTAGTTCTCCATGTGCAGGGCCCAGGTCACATTGCTGTTGTTAGCTAGTGTTGGGGGTGCAACAACTAGTCGACGTAGTTGACAAAAATCGATTATTAAATTCCTTGCTAACGAACAGTATGCTAGTTAGCGAGCTAGCTTCCCGTTAAAGCCGTGTTACTTCTATGAGCTGCAACGGTTTCTATACAGTTTGCTTTGGACAATTTGATTGATTGTTAATGGCGCTGAGAGTAGCACATTTATGATACACAACGGCCGCGTTCACAGTCCAGATGTGCCCCAACTTTACAACCACAAACGATGCATCACTCATGGCGACGTTCCCACTGGAGAACATGTTGCTGCCGAGTGCGCAAGATTAGACAAGACCGGACAATTTCATACTTTCTAAAGAAGAGAAAACGGTTCTCCTGTCTGTGCGATTTTTTTAACTCCCTTAAAAAATCAGAGTTTTGTGAGTTGTTGAGTTAGGGGAAAATATATAAACATGAAACTGTCTACTATAAAATCGTTAATTAATAATTATTATAAACTGTAAATTTGGTAAATGTAATGCATGACGTTATTCCTTTCTTCGTATATGGTGTCAGTTTGTCCCGGTGTGTTGCAGTACTGGCGTGTAAACTTTCTGTTGCTGCAGCAGAAACGTTCATTAAAAGATGCATTTTTGAAAGCAGTATTTATTTTATTGTTGTGACTGTTAATTAGCGCATGCCTAAAACAACCTCAAGTTAAATTTAAAAGCTGATAGCTAAATAAGACGCATTGTGTAATTTTGCAATTCATAATGCGAATAGTCGATTATTCGTTTCAATAATCGATAGATTAATCGACTATCAAAATAGTCGTTAGTTGCAGCCCTAGTTAGAGCGTTGCATTTTTACAATTAGTTATATGGTAACTCCATATCTGTCTTCCAGGACTGGGACAAGCCAGAGACCATTCCTGACCCTGATGCAAAGAAGCCTGAAGACTGGGATGAGGACATGGACGGAGAGTGGGAGCCTCCTATGATCACTAACCCAGAGTATAAGGTACGGCAGGAGAAGGAGTGTCTGTCAATGTACTCAATCAGAACTGGACCAAAATAGTCAAGTGACATGCAGTTGTAAGACAATAAAATAGGTGTACGGTGTAATGTTGTTTCCCACATATATACTTTACTTGGGCGGGCCGCCCAGGTATATTAACAGCTGCCAAAGTATATTTGGCGACCCATTTTAGCATTTTTGCAGAGAAACACAGAGAGAGATCTGGTAGACGCAGAATTTTACAATTACGGAGTGACAGTGAACACACCACTGCAGATGTCATTCAGTACCACGTTGGTTTCCATCCACATATGGCACCTGTTGCTGTGATAACGGATTTGCAGGTTAGTTTATTAATCGCAGTGACTTTACAAAGTGTAGCCTGCTGCTGATGAGAGAGTCTACAGAGAGACGGGGCAAGCCGGTGTGTTTGAGTGACCGAGCAGAGGTGCAGGATAGTTGTGTGTGAATGTGGGGAGAAGAAAAAGAGAGCAGATTCAAATAGCGAATAACGTGGAGAATTAAGTAGAATTTAAATAATGAAATAACTTACTAGTGATACACCACTTGGTAAAGTTGGGCACAGCTAAAGGCTTGTGACTAAAGTGTGTTTCAAGCTCTACCATCACTAGTCCTAACCACTCTCCTGTTGTCTTTTCAGGGTGAATGGAAACCCAAGCAGATAGACAACCCTGACTACAAGGGAGCATGGGTTCACCCTGAGATCGACAACCCAGAGTACACTCATGACGCCGCTATGTACAAGTTTGATAACATTGGAGTACTGGGCCTGGATCTGTGGCAGGTAAGAAGTGCTGCTGACAGTTCTGGGGTTGAAGTATACGTACAGACTAGTGTCATGCTGTTTGCTTATAAATCCACGGTGAAAGATGATGATGATGATGATAATAATAATCATTTAGGTGAATTCATTGAGTAAACAATATTAATGTGTTTGGTGTGTTTGTTCAGGTTAAATCTGGCACCATTTTTGACAACTTCCTGATCACTGATGATGTCAAAGAAGCACAGGAGTTTGGGAAGGAAACCTGGGGAGCTACTAAGGTAGGCCTGTACTGAAAAACTGTATGTGGAGCCTAGGTATAAGCTATATTGTGTATTCTAGAGTAAACGGCACAATGAATATTTTCATTACCAATGACAGCAGTCAGTGTCTGTGGTCAACCCCGGGAGAAGATAAACTTTGGTCACAGTCTAAATTAATTCATTAGCCACAATTTAACTCCCAAGAACACATGTACATCAAGAACATATTTAGTGAATCCAAATTAAATAGTCATCTGCAGCATGACATGAATGAAAATGTGATGACCTCAAAATACCTGCAGTTATTTTGAGAATAGCCATTAAATGGAATGCAGCACTTCAAAAGCATACTCCTGTTCTGTTAAGAGGACATAAAACAACGTGTCTTTCTCAGGGACCAGAGAAGAAGATGAAGGAGGAACAGGAGGATATGGAGAGGAAACTGAGGGAGGAGGAGGAGAAGAGCAAGAAGGACACTGAAGATGGTGATGATGATGGGGAGGAGGAGGAGGAGGAGGAGGAGGAGGGGAGGAGGAGGGCGAGCACGATGAGGAGAGGGACGATGAGGCTGGGACAGAGGAGGATGGCGACGTCAAACAGAAGGATGAGTTGTAGAGGAAAGGCGGACTGCTGCGTGCTTCTGTCCACAGGTTCAAAAGAACGTCAGAAAATGAGCGAACGCTGGATGGACTCTGGCCTTTCATACAGCAGCCTTTCATTCAGACGAGGTTGGGGTGGGGGGGTGGACGGTGGGGTACGGTGAGATTTATATTTTGATTCCCTTCTTTTTTTAGCCTCCAAATTAGAGAGGTGTTCCTTCTGTTTGTGTCTGCTTTGGTTGAGAATTTTCTAAGTTAATTAATATGATTTACTGAACGTGGTGTGAGTGCATCCTGCAGTTCCTCACAGAGCCAATCACTTTTTACTAATGCCTTTGTTGGGATGTCCAGTAATGGAAGTGGTGTCTGGTTCATGCACTTTTATTCTTCCTGTGTGATGAAGTACTGTTTGTTTTTAATTGACCCCTTCATAATTTATTCGATCATTCGTTACCTGAAAACATGTCAGTTCCCAAAGCTCTGCTTTTGGACATGCGTCCTTCCTGTGTGATGAGTGAGACTGTTTAGACAAACTGTGATTTGTACAATCCTCATTTTCTCATTGTTCTGAATGAGTGACTGTCCCATGGGCACACACTGTCTTTGAGTTTCAGTGAATAAATTGAAGCTTCTCTCAACAAGCTGCCGTGCTTTCACTGGTCCTGTGACTGTTGTCAGTCTTATTTCAGTGTGGTATGTGAGCAAGATATATATCAGGGGATAGAGTGGTGGTCAACACAAACACCGGGTATCTGCCTTTAATGGGTGTTATAAAATGTTAAATATTGGTACTGATATGACACTGAGTTTTGGTACAGATAACTAAAACAGCATTTTTCACCTTTATATATACCTTATTGTTTGGGATTATACTGTAACTAATCTAAACCTCTCAACTCTCACTCACGGTCCACTCACTGGCTGCTACCGAAAAGTCTTTTTTTCTTAGGAAGGTTCCTAAGTGAATGAAGTGAACCGGAAGTATATATATGAAAGGTGTGAACATTTCCTTTTGTACATTTTTATTTTGTCATTGTAAATCTTATTATTCATGTATGTTTTTTATGTATCTTAACTTAACTTCAGCCTGCCCAGGGACTACGGGTGAAAATTAGCTCTTGAGCTAAAACCCGGTACAATGCATCGTCCCCATTGAGGTTAATGTTTATTGTACGTTGTCCCTGTTTCTCTAGATAAAAAAAAAAAAAAAGTATTTCAGTGGCAGCCATGATAACAGCTGTTTGAATTCTCTAACAGCTAAGGAAAGGAGCCTCAATGCTTCCTTTCATATCTCCTTTAGCATAGGGTACACCTGACCATCCTTTACGAAAGGAAAGGAGAGAATGCCGTCCCACAATTCCTTGTGGCGGCAACATTTAAAGCGGTGCACGTTCTCAAACTCAAACGATAAAATCCATCAACCACATTTAGCAAAATCCTTGCAATACAGATGCACATGCACACATGCACACTTTAATAAGACTCACACTTACCTTCTTTCTTTTGGCCATTAAGTGTTTTCTACAATAAAAAAAATAATTCACCAACCATGATGGATAAAGGAGGCTGATCACATGTAAGTTACCATTGGCTATTAAGCCTTTTCTCTCTTATGCCATAACTTGCTAATATGCATATATCTTAAACTGTCAACAGTAACTGAGACCCATGCGAGCTGTTACTGGTCTTGTAACCTGATCAAAGTCAGGATAATGTTGCAGCGTGTAGCCTCACGTTATGTACTGCAGCCTTCAGCAAATTAATTTTACTTCAGTCACAGATGCTGACACACTCGCCTTCATAAAGGCAAAGATCCAGCTGGATAACCTCTACAGTAGGCGTTTCCCACACACTGATTTATTTGTGGCGGCCTGCCACATTATCAACGCTGATTTTTGATTGACTTTGTTATTTAAAGGCAGGGTAGGCAAATTGCTTCTAAAAACCTTTTTTCATATTTGTTGAAACTGTCTATATACACCAATGCATATGAAAAAGAGAGTATAAAAATCAGCTGTCTGTAGTCCTCTCAGTGCTGCAGTAAACACAGCCACTCGTTTCATTCGGACCGAATGCAATGATTGGCTAGCTGACTGTCGCTCTCCCTCGCTGCCATGGCTACCAGCCCAGCTGCTACAGGAGCTGCCCCCGTGCGCGCACCCGCTCAGTTCTATTTCATATAGGCACAGCCCTCTAAGGCTATGGCTATTGGGTTTACCTCTTCCGCGCGCCTGCGCGGCACTGAGAATTTTAGTCTATGCCCACCCAAAGCGTGGGCCTCTCTTACGTCCGCACCATGTATATATACAACGGTGAGACCCAGCCTTCTATGGAGCGCTAAAAGGCTCACAATACGCCACTTTCCTACCTCGTTTTGTTAAAAAAAACAGCGTAAAAAGCGCCATTTAAACGGCCAGGACGCCGTAAAAAGCGCTGTGGAATTGTGTAAACAACGACGGATTTTTCGTCGGTCTGGAGGCGGCGAAAAAAACGCCACTCTGTGCTCATGTAACGCCGCTTTTTACGGGGTCAGTGTCCCCAATGACGCGCAACATAACGTGTTACAAGACCCGTAGTGTTAAATGATAATGAGCTCCACCCTGTTTTTTCCAAAGCCGATCAGTTTGAACTGTTATCACCCAATCAGTAAATAACAAGAACAGACCACATTAATCCAACCCAGCACAAGGATGTTTTAAAACATTTTAAAAAACACTCATTTAAGAAGTTATTGGACGCTTTAGCTCACTGCTATGACGCTGCCTTACAAGTAGAGTTTCTGTGGGTTGCAGGTTTGCGCCCTGTTCGCATCTTTTTTTACTGGGGGAGGTTTTTCTGTTTTCTGTTACAATGGCAATCGGTAAACTGAAGTTGTAAGCACACAAACCTTACTGTGTTTTCCTCTATTTTATTAACCTAATAGAACCAATCCAATATTAATGTACCGACTGTGCTTACTATAAGGTGCAACGTCTGCAGGCTTGAGAAAGGAGGATGGTTGGTGTGTGCAACTGACTGTTCAGCAAATGCACAACAAATACAAGCTTTGAATCTGCAGGTCATGGCAGCACAGGGCATAGGTTTTCTCTAGTTTTTTTAGTATGAGAGTCTCTAGTCTTTTTGCAGGTAATCCATTTAAAATGAGCCAACTTGTTCTGATTTCTATGGCAACCGGCAGCGCTTGTAGAAGCAGTAGCTGGTAACGTTAGCTCCTTCAAACTTTGCTACACTTTCCTCCCAGCTTAATTGCCAATGTGTTACCTCTGACATAAATAAAGTCACTGGAAGATGAAGACGGGGTTTTTGGATTAAGGACCAGCAGACCACGATCCACCCGGCCCAAACAACCGGACTAGGCACCACGCGGGTGCAGTGATCGCTCAGAGGAGAGGACAGAGAGCCAGGAGAGGAGCCATGCTGGCCCAGCTTGGACTTTATTCTGCTCCTAAAGATGCAGTCTGGACAAAATGTGACTCATGTTGACCAAACAAATGAATTCAGAGACTGGCAGTTGGTCCATGTTTCGATCTGTCAGCGCAAGACTCTAGCAAGATGAGCAGAAGTGGACTCTGTGTTTTACATCGATGATGCTTGGTGCACTAACGCAGTCAAGATGGACTCTTCAATACAATACAATACATGTTCGGGGTGTATAGCATACGTAGCCTATATGTTTATAGCTTATGTGTATAAATAACTGTAGAAATTGTTTCATTGTGTATTATATTTAGTATAGGCCTAAAATTTATTATGTTGTGTGTTGAAGGAACTACAAAACCTCTCTGTTGTCTGTAAGCAAGCCACAGACACATAAGAAAACCTCTCCAGACCTTTTGAGTTGCCTATAGTTAGAGAGATGGGATCTTACTTTGGTCCTAATTAAATCACGCCAATGTAAGATTTGACCTGCAAAATGTTGCACCCATTAAGCTATACGAAACTACCTATTATTGCGTTGTATATCGTTTATCTAAAGAAACGCCTATCATGAACACTTATTTTCCACTCAGAATCCAGAATGCTGTAGATTTTCTTATCCTTTAGGCATATTTTATTATTTATTTTTATAGTAGGCCCACTTTAATCTTTTATTTCTCTATGTTCTTTTAACGCAGATTCTTGGTGTACTTTGATCGGATTTTTTCTAAAGCACTTTGAATTTCCACTTTGTATGCATTGTGCTTTAGAAATAAACTAGCCTTGCCACTATTCCCTTTACAAATTTGTTAGACAATGTCATTGTTTGGAAATATTGAAGGTAGACAGATAAATTGTAGCTTATACAGTCATAGTGAGAAGTTTGCTCTATGAGGCAGGTTGCAGGTTCACGTCCCCATTGAACAGGTTATCATTTGTGGAAGGTCCTATCTCGCTGCTGGTAAAATGAGTGTACTAACCTCCAAAAATTAAAACCAAGGACTTTCATTTTGCAAAATGAAACGCTGTGTTGTAGCTACATTTTAAGTAAATAACGTCTGTGTTCCCCCTACTTTTATTAACAAATTAGAACTAACCCAGCACAATCCAAACATAATGCAAGACCTCCACTAGGTGGCACTCACACACTACCAATAAAGTAGACGTTTTAAGGATTTGGCTACAGTACACATGCATTCTTGTATATTTTAATTTCTAGAGAAATTCGTTTGTATCAGGCTCGAAAGACTTAATGCATATACATCCGAACCAACAATTTATTCATGTATCAAGTCACCAACATGCTTAGGCCTACTTCCTTCAGGACATTCTTGGTTTGGATGCAGCAGCACAGACGATCAGACCACTGGAGGCAGGTGTGTTCCTACATGATGCACCTTGAAACCTGGTGTGGTACAAGTTTCGATAGAATCTAGACTGTTTGATGAGTGGGAAATGGATGAGACCTAACTGTGGTAGGGCTGTACTGTTCCACCGGACGGGAAGTCCATCCACAATGTCATGAAAATGGCTGAAAAGATAATCAGATATATGCATCATGTAGGAACACACTTGCTTTTCTGCCTCCTTGGTCTGATCGCCCATTCTGCTGTGCTGCCAAGACCTGGGCCCTGTTTCAGAAAGCAGGTTCAACAAACTCTGAGTGTAAACCTGAACTCTGGGTT